AACAACCCCCCCCCCCCCCGTAACTTAATGAATAATATTCTAGTTATACCCACACAAAATCATTAAAAGAATATATGAAAGTTTAGATTTACTGATTATGGACCAGATATAATCTCATACCCTACCCCTTTTTGATATCAACATAAAATATATACAGTTCTTTCCTAAGGACTCCTCTATGCTTTTTTTGGTTGAACCAAGCTTGAGGGATATCTTAGGAAAGGAAAAAAGTCTTATCTGCTGGTTGTCTCCTTGACGATGTAAGTGAAAGTAAAACAATTTTCAACTTTTCATAATTTTCATCATGTTCCATAAGATGAATTATGATATTTGTTAATCCATAAAGTTTAATCTTTAGAAGATAAAACAAAACAATGAGTCTGGAACTAAATATATGTTTCTATAATATGTTTAAATATATGTTTTCATACACTAGAATTGTGTGTACAAATACAAGTCTTCAAGATCATCTATATCTAGGTTCCACATATATTATATAAAGTATTTATCTGTTCATAATGTCATTTGATCAAAAGATCCAGCAGAACAGCAGTTTCAAAAGCAGCAATTATGAACTCAAGTGGGATGACGGCACAGAAGCAAACCAGAAATGCAGTATTTTGTTATCTTTCAGAGTAAAAATGGGAATCTATGTATAAATCAAAGCACAGCAAAAAAGGCTTTCAAACTATTGTTATAGAAGACAGGTAAATTAGACACAATTTTAAAAACATGTGCCTCAAGTGAGTAGGAAAATAAGGTATGAAGAAATGGTCAATAAGTAACACAGTACAAAATGACTACTTGCAGATTTGAATACTAGGGTTTTTTTCCTGCCAGGAGCTGAAGATGCTATACTCCAGCTGTCACTTTGCTTACATCACTAAGACTTTTAACAGGTCAACAATAAAAAGTTTGCCAGCTGTATACCACTCAGAACTGTATTTTAATATTAATAAAGTATATGACTTAAAAGTCTGTTCAAATTAAGAGTTCTCTTCCACAAAGTAGTCTCAGAGTGTGTGTGGAAAGGCTCAAGGTAAAATGCATCAACGTCAGCTCCTAGATGCCTCTGTTTGTAGAAATAAGATAAAACCAAATTACAGAGCAAAGATCAAAATCACAGATCTCCATTGTCTACTTCGCTTGGTCCACTTCTTGGCTCTAACCACTCAAACCTTCAAAATGGCACTTAAACCCCATTTTATGGTTTACGGAGGAAGGGAGGGAGAAGAACCAGAGAGAGGAGGGAGGTGCCACTTGTGGGGGAGGTTATGTGACACCACCACTGTTGTGGACCGAAACCTAACTTCAGTTGACATGGGGAATAAGGATTGCACAATAGTTTGGAAAGGAGACAGGCATTCTGCTATAACAGAGTGTCAAGCCAAATGCCCAGGGAACTTTCAAGCTTAGTATAACAGGGCCTAAAAGTTTAAGATGTTTCCTAGAGTATTCAAACCAGATTGAAGTTTCACCCATGCTCTTCCTGCCTGGAGGCACAAGGGTTACAGGTGTGCTGGATCTCGGGGGAGGCCCCTACCAGTTTGAGGGATCCCGACTGGCCAGCAGACCCTTCAGTCTGTTGCCCAGTGGCATAATGGTTACAGGCACACTGAAACTTCCATGAAGGAGGCCCCCATCACATTGACAAACCCCAACCAGTTGGCAGACCTGAATGTGGGGCACCCAAAAGCATATTACAGGCATATTAAAGCTCTGCGGAGGCTCCTTACTGCCTCAACAATCCCAGCCCATCAGTTTTGAACCCACTGGTATAAAGGTTACAGGCACACCCCATCTCTGGTGAGATGTCCTGCTATCTCTGACTCCCCCTGGAGGACCTCCCTCAACAGGTCATGATCTTGAGGTTCAATAAACTGTCTGTATCATGCTTCTGACACCATCTGACAACATGCAGTGGATGCAGATACTGGGGTTTAAGAACCGCTGACATGAGAGCTTTACCGCTTCTTGATTATCACACCTTCATTTGCTCTCCTGTTAGTGTTATGTTAATTGGGTCTTGACTTCCCCTTCCAGCAGGGATACTGTTGCTCTTCTTGGATGGTTGGGCAGCAAGCTGTCTCGGATTGTGTTGTGCAGCTGCTCAGTTACCAGTCTCAGTGGCTAAAGGCTTTACTACTGTCCCTAGTTTTAATGGAATTATATCTTGCAACAAATATGAGTTTTACTCATAAATCTGACCTAAATTCTAAGATAATAAACATAGTTGTTAATTCTGTCCACCTGATTCATCTCTACCCCTTTTACGGGAAGTAAAACAATTCAGAATAATACAAAACCACAGACAGAAATAAGGAAGGCCATGTGTTTAAATCCTTGGGGTAATCTTATTTCCTGTGTTTCTTCTCATTTTGCTCCACACACACTGTCCTTTCCAGCTCACAGGGTAACATCATTAAAGCTTTTCTAAAGATTTTTTAAATTTTCACCTGCTCCTGTGAGATAAGAGTGATTTTTTGTAGAGCTAATTATCAGTGAATCAGACAAATTAGTATTATCATTCTTACTTGTTCAGATAGTAACATAAGGAGAAAAAGAATATAAGCTAATGGCAGAACTCTATCCTGAGGCACCACCCACAAAAGGAGCCCCTGTGACAACTTCTGTGGTATTGCTTCACTGCTAACTGTTCACACACCACACTTCTACAGCTTGGTGAAACTGCACAATACATACAACTTCTCCTGGCAGTCCCCTCGGTCCAACAGGTCCTGGAGGTCCTTGCAGTCCCTGTGAAATGATATAATACACATCTGTGGTAAAGCATTTACATTTACATTTGATGTAAAGCATTCTCATATACAAATAGATTAAAACATCTGGCATTAAGAATTTTCTACACAGAGTAAGAAGCACAAGAGTTTGCTAATTCTCCCTTAATCTAATGTTTAGCCCAATAAACCTTTGGGACCAATGTGTACGAAATCTGAAGTATGTATACAAAGCAAATACAAGCAAATACAAAGGCACCACCTAAAGTACAAACTGAGTAAATCAAGATTTCCTCCTTCAAGGGACAGATCTAGAAGTGATTTTTTAACTACATAGTAGGTGTTCCTTCTCTTTTTTGGAATAGATGTCATCAGGACTTCAGAGTGCTGAAAGAAAAGGGGATTAAGATGTAGAGATAAAAATGGTCTTGGTGCAAACCCTAATGATCCTTTGGATCTCTCTGAGCCTCTTCTGGAAGGTATACAGTGTGAAGGCAGCCTAGATTTCCACTGCAATAAAAACAATTATTTTAGTAGCTCCTACCAAGGAAGGACATTAGCCTCTGAAGAGCAGTCTAAGGAGTTAGAGCGAACAATCATTTTTAAGACCACAGTTTCATGGATCCTATAGCTGCATCTATTTCCCTGGTACTTCTTTTGATGATCTAAGAAACCTAGGTACTATCACATCTAACATGAATAGTGTTGGGTGGAGGTTACATTTTCACAATTTCCAATTCTACCTTTACTCAATACAATTCAAGGCATCATGACAGATTCTCAAGAATATTTTTGCTTCAGTTACTTTCTTCAAAGCAAGGCAATGGCTGCAGTCTCAGGATTAAACATAGGAACTGCTAATGTACCAGCAGTGATCACTCCTTGCTTCACTGATGGATAAAGAGAATACACTCAGCTACCAGTGGATCTGTAATTGTAAAATGGGTGCTCATATTATTGAGCGGCCAAATAACATTTGAGCTTTGCATAAATATTCCTTGCTGAATGATGCTGAGATCAACAAGAATTTTATGAACTAAACCAGCTACAGTCCATGCACAAACTTTTGATACAAATTATTTGCATTCTCTGCTCTTTAATACTAGCTAAAGAGTTGATAGCATTCAAAGTTCTCTTATATAACAGCATAGAATGTTAATACCACATAAACACCTTTCGCCTACCTTTGATCCTGGATTTCCAGTAAGACCAGGTGGTCCAGGGTCTCCTGTTTCACCCTAATAATATTGTTTGAGAAAACAAAAAAAATCCAAATTTACTGTTATGTCTCCCAGTACCAGCTTTGTACACCATTGATGTATACAGTGTGTACAAGTCAAAAAATACCTTATTTCCTTTTGATCCTTCCATTCCAGCTTCTCCCTGAAAATACCAGGTACAACCATAAGATGTTAAAATTTTAACTAAGATCAACTAAGTTTAATTTGCTACTTTAAAATATTATAGTATAGTTTGCAAACTTAACAAATGTTGAGAAAGCGTTAAACAATTTCTGATGCCTTGTGCAAACTCTGAGAGGTACTCCTCTTTCACACTAATTCTCCTTGCAGGTTTTCCTAGTGTTTTAAAGAAAAATTAAACCCACATTTGTTTAAGAGATTCTCCACTCTAAGGCCCATTCTTCACCACTAAATCTCTACTGGTGACACAGTATTCATCTGCAAAACCACACATTATTACAGTATGCCTTAGTTTGGTTATATGTTAATCACAAGTATCTGAGCAACCTTCGGTTGTGTATTAAACAACATAACTAGCTCTTGTAAAATGCCATAAGAGAGGACAATAGTTAATTAAAAATAAGCAACACATGTAAACAGAGTCTTACAGAATTAATGTTCTGAAAATATCCCCCAAAATAAAAAAAATATTATGCACACATAAAATGGCTATAAGAAAACTGCCTGATGTTAAATGTCACACTGGAAACTGGTAAAACAATTAAAATAATACAATTCCGCCCACATATAATTTCATGAAATAGCTGAAAGAAGGAAAGAACTTTCAGGGAACAAAAAATCCGTGTACTTTAAAGTGAGTTCATGGACTGTACCCAACTGCAGAAATGCCGAAGAACAGGGCATCTCTGGTTTTTATTTATTACTTGTGTGAACTTGATGCATGTGTAAGAAGGAGACAATACATATGCTATCGTATACAATCATTGAATCTAATGAAAGTGTACAAAGACAAGAATTACAGCATGAATACAGTATGAAAATTATATCAAACATAAATTATTCACATCATCTGTTCAAAACACAGATATACTTACTCGATCTCCCTTGTCCCCTTTTGCAGAAGGCTCTCCCTATGGAAGCAGATTTATTTCAAATCATGAACAGTATCTATATCTTGTTTTGGTGAAGAAACCTTAACAGATGTTGGGTTTTTTTTTAAACCTATATAAAATATAAGTATATGGGCTACAAAAGTTTATGTACAGGATGATGTTGATGACAAGACCATGACATGCGATCCTTTCTGGTAGGAGCACAAGGAACAGTTAGGAACATGAACTAAAAAGCATGATGATGCCTAGAAATCTCACAAATTATCAAACACAAGTGATTTATAACACACAAAATCATCACATTGACAGAGTAATAAAAGCTTCTGCCTGCATGGAAACCATTTATACACAAGGATATGACCGAAGAAACCAACTGTAAGCCTGACAGCTGAATAGCAAAATGCCTGTTTAAGAACTGGGTACATCACACATTCCTAGAAAAACACAACACACACCTATTCTCCAGTAACATTCCTTACCCAAATCTTTCTGGAAGATATAAGCCTACACTAAAAGATATTAAATTAGGAAGTTTATGTGTAAATTTTAGTAATTTAAAGCCTTTGTTTTTTTCATATAGATATTGAAGGTCACATTTGTAACTTGAAAAAGTATGAATGGCATCTAATTTTGAGGCAATCACTGGTCATAAACATATAAACATAATTTTAAACTGGTATTCAGTAAAAGTCTGAATGTGCTTAAAGTTAAGGACTTTGCAAGCTGTTGGAACAAGGAAATTTACTTGCATACTCTCTCAAGGAGGAGCTTGAGTAAATTACTAAGGACATTCAGAGACCAAAATTTTTTTCTAAGTTCAAATATATTTTCTTGATCCTAAGTATATTTTTCAAGATGTGATTCATAAGCGGTACATTCAGCCACCTTCTAGTATCACACATGAGCACAGAAGTAAGGAATTAATTTACCTTTTCTCCTTTTGCACCGGTTATTCCCAATTCTCCTTTTTGACCCTTTTAACAAAATAAGTTACACTTAAAACCTTTTATATTCTACAAATGCAAATAAACTCGTCGTCTCCTTCAATTGTACTTTGTTCTGTGTAGGACACAAAATCTTAACTTTTACTGCAATGCAAATCTGAGATTTAAACATCTGCAAATTAATTTAAATGACGGTTTTCTACATCAGATCTGCAGGCTTCTCAGTAAAAACCACTGTCAATCCTATGACATATTCAGAGCACTTGCCTCTTTTTTTCCAAGTGTAAAAGACATCCAATTGTTAAAAATTCATTCCACTGTTTCAGCAGGACAGTTGACTATAAACAACATACTGTCATATGGTGTGGGTTCAGAATTTGACTTCCATTAATTTTTTTAGAGGCTGATTATAAGTATTTTTGGTACAGCAAGTCCCATCTTTCATGACTTACTATTAAAAATATTTTCTAAATTTAAACTTTTTTAGTCTTTCCCCCTAACCAGCAGCCCAGTTTATATGACTTCTTCTTGGACAATGTTATAGAAACCACACATAATTCTTCCTGCATTTTTACTTTGCGGTTATCATATACCAGAGGAGAAAGGATCAGGTCCTGCACCTGCAGGACAGCACAATTAGTTGGATATTGGACTACACAGATCAAAGAGACAGTCATATATAAAATCTATTCCTTCAAAGACCACTGTGACATATCAAATAAAAGAATGTGTTGGGGGTGGCAGCGACAGGTTAGATGGGCACTTTGAAAATTCTCCAGATTAATCCAAAATGCTTACAATGTCTCCCTTCTGGCCTTTAGGTCCAGGGGTCCCAAGTAATCCTAGTAGTCTTGTATCACTCTGGGAATAAATATCACCACAAAGATCAGAGAACAGAACATGTCACCATTTATTTACAGTAACAATTTATTTACCATAACAATTTCATGTAATTTACCACTATGTAAATTCAGAAGTCCTAGTTTACTACTAGAAAGGGATACTAAATGCCTAAGCAGTACATCTAAGTAATGTATTGCAGCAACACATCCTTTGTCATGCATGCATACTCCAGTCAGACTAGCAGAAGATTAATAAAAGCATAAAAGTGAAATGTCTATGTTGGATATTGCTATGTAAATCTGTATTACTTTTTTTTCTTAACTCAATGCAAAGAACATATTTTTATGCTCATTATCACAGTACATTTTTCAAATATGTTAGAACAAGAAAAATCACTTCTCTCCTATGACAAAAACACAAGCTTTTTACTTCTGAGCATGATGAAATGTAAAATAGAACAAATTTAAGGCTACTATGGTAGTGACACAGAAAGAGAGGGAATGAATATGATTAACAGGCTCCTCACACTGCTTCTCAAAGAAAACAGACAGATTTAAGAACCAGGGTTTCAGGTTGTATACTTGCTCAGATATTATTGCACTGCATCTATTTACTTTTCCGTACATGGTAAAGACACAATAAAATACAAAGCAAACCATTTCCCCTTCACAAAGCCAGGCTCAGACTACCTAAGGGGAACATGTTTTCTCCTAATGACCATGGAAAAAAAACCAAAATCAATGACCCTGAAAAATGAGCTTGAGTGTGGACTCATAGAGTCCCAGTCCTAGAACATCTGCCACTGGGCTGAATGGGAACTCAGAGCAAGCCAACTCCCCTTGCTGTGTTCCAGTTTCTGTATCTCTAAGATGGGAAAACATCATGACGGATAAAAGTGCCATTTACACTACTAATATTTTCAGAAGTTGGTAACTGAATATAACCTGGATAAAATCCATAATTATTTTATAATTGTTAATGTCCTGAAGAATCTTCTTCAGTGTTTAGGGTTTGTTAACACTGTTACTACTGTAATTATCAATATCAGCTCCAAAGCAAGGGGCAGATACCTGAAGAAGGGAATCTAAGTATTGCTGAGTAGTTGACTACCACTTGACTGAGAACAATCCAGGTGACTGTTATTATGAGTACACTATACGGTATGATTTATTCTGAATTGTGCATTTCTTTTGCACATGTGGAAGGAAAAATAGGGTATTAGACCAAATATACTATCTATGTATGGAAAACTGGTAAGTAAAAAAGATGACAAGTAGAGGCCTTGAAAACCAAGTCAAAGGATGATAACAGAGTCCTGAGAGTGTATAAACACAAATCACGAGGCATCATTTACCAGTCACTGAAGGAATGTAACCTACAGAGCAGGGCAGAACCATTTTCTTGGCATAACAAAGAGAACAAAATGCAGGTACTGAATACACACAAAGCATCTCATTTACACTGAAAGCACTAAAGATATAACAAGAAGGAATACAAAAATAGTCATATGCCTTGCAAGAACAGTCACAAAGGAAGAACAATGAAGCAAGAAATGCTCCAACGCTGTCCCCCACCCCATTAATGATCAGTGCTACTATTTATTCTCAGCAGGCTCACCTCACCTTTATTAAAGAAAGACTGCTGATCTTGGTTTGCCATTTAACACAATCTGCTGCTACAATCAGCAATTGCATTTATAGTGCTCTCTTTCACTGTATACATGGATCAAGTAAATTTTGCTTTTAAAGACTTGCACTCCAGCCTCCTTACACAATAAGGTGATTGATAATGACCCAGAAAAAGCTTAGTCGCAACAAATTATTTAAATACTTTGTGCAATTACAACTACTCATTGATATAATCCAGAAATCAAAAGAACTGCAAATAAGATGCTAAGAAACAGAGAAACTGTAGAAAAAAAAATCACATTATTAATTATGATAGGTCTTAAGATCTCTCTCACTGATCACCCACATTCTTGGTAGCAGTTTCTCATGATTCCTAGAAACACCAGTGTAAAGAAGCTGTACAAACATGCTCAAAAAAAACCCCACCCCAAAACCCCCACCACTCCATAGTAACAATAATGTGGTCACAATTTAAACACTTGAAAGAACCAAACTGAAAGAAGACCTTGTAAGATCCTTGAGAACATGCATGAAATGTTGAAAAATGACAAGACTGTTTCCTGTGGTGTAAGAAATCTCAGAAACCTCAGAGTATCACTGAAATATCATCTTATAAATGCAAATAATTGAGGCACATTGCAAATTATATATTGGAATGTGGAAGTCTGCTTGGTGCAATGAACAAAATCAGCACTCATCATACTACAAAACAGTGGGGGAAAAAAAAAGGAAAGTTACTGGTGCATACATCTGCCTAAATGAATAATCAATGACAAAGCAGACAAGCTGTCTTTGTCTTTGATGACCTCTTTGATGTCTCTGTCTTGATTTCTATCACAAAATGTATAGGAATTAGTACATTTGCTGTAGCAGTTGAAGACTTAAGTTGATTCTAGGAATATCTGAACACATAGTTACAGAAAGTTTGCATACTTAAAACCTGCTATTTGAACCAGGAAGCCATATCCACTCTCATCTGAAACTACACTGCATTTCCTTGTTGAACAGCTAATTGCTCGTGACAGAATCATTAAAATCTTCAAACTAGACAGCTGAAGGAGGAAGAAAATTTGTAAGCTGTACAGGGTTTAAAAGATGATTAATTTATAGACAGAGAGCAGCTAGACTACTTTTTTTTTTTTTTTTTTTTTTTTTTTTTTCCCCCAGAATATAGTTAATTATGAAATATAAGGCACATTAGGAATTCTTAGACCCTTACAGTGATAAGAAATATGATTTTTGGAGACAGATGACAGTTTCTGAAGATCACTACTGTTTGCATTTCCTCCTGCAGAATTAACCTGAAAGGGACTATCAGGGTAAACGAAATTAATAGTCCAGAAGCCGGGAATAAGTTCCAATAAATATGGTATTAATAGAAGAATCAGGGCCAGTATCAGTGAAAGCTGTCTTCGACAGCAAAGGAAACTGGTAAGAAAATGAAAGGTATAAAACCAAAATACAGAAAACTTCAACACATACATATGAAATGGCAGACCAAAACCAGAAACAGTCTCCAGGTGTGAAAATGTCCCTGTCGAGGACAGAATATAAAACTAGGCTTAATTCCTAATGCATGTTCTAACGTGATGTAATGATTTGGAATGGATTAAATATCAGAAGTATCAGAGAAATCACTTCAGTAATAAAAGCAACTGGGAAGATAATTTGACATTAATTTTGCTCCAGAATACCTATTAAAAAAAAAAAAAAAAGATTTTAGCACTCATTTGGGTATGTTATATAAGAAAAATATTCTGAATTCACCTGATCTTTATAGTTACACATTTTAATATTAAAAGAAATGTATGTCTTCCAGATTTGACCTGCATGATTTAAGGTATGATACACACAGTAACCTCTGTATTAAGCAAATATTCCTGTAACAGTGCTTTATCAGTCTTTGAATGAAATACGATTTTCTAATGAGATAAGTTACATACTCTGGCATCAATTAAGAAAACTTTGAATTATGATCCCTTATAATGGCAGACACTACCACTGCTTAACCAATTTGAAAAATCTGTGGTAAGAATTTGAAAACTCTGTCATGGCAGCCCAACACCACGCAGATGCTCACTTACCCTCCCCCCCACCTTGGGGGAGAATTAGAGGGGTAAGGTAAGAAGACTCGTACGTTTAGGTAAGAACAATTTAATAATTGAAATTTTTTAAAAAAATAATGATAATAATAATAGAAAATACAAACAAGGAATGCACAATGTAATTGCTCACCATCTGCTGACTGATGGTCAGACTGTTCCCACCTAGGGCTCTCAGAAAAGAAAAAATCCCAAAACCACTGTTCTAGAAAGAAAGAACAAGCAGCTTCCCAGCTCACCCTCATCTATATACTGAGCATGTTATATGATATGGAATATTCCATTGGCTAGTTTGGGTTTGTTGCTCTGGGTACATTTCCTCCCAGCTTCTTGTGCACCTGCACACTAGCAGGATACGGGAAGTTGAAAAGTCCTTGATTTTCTTGCAACAGCTAAAACCACCAGTGCATTATCAACATTCTTCTCATCCCAAATCCCCTACTGAATCCAAAACACAGCACTATTCTAGCTACTAAGAAGAAAAATTAGCTCTATCCCAGCCAAAACCAGGACAACTGTCCTATGCAATTTTAACTTTTTTCTGTGAAGTGCCTGTAGCTGCAGAAGGTTCTATAATTAAGACAATATTTTTATTAGTCTGTAATACAAACACCAAGACACTTCTCATGGATTGCTAGCAAATCTTTTAAAATTATGCCTCCTTGTCTTTCTATTCTACTCATGAAAGAGTAGGTCAAGAAAGAAGAAATGTCAAGTACAGTTTAGAGCAATTAGGTTTAGAAATGGGGAGCTGGTGCTTACGCTAACAGCTAGGTGGTCCACCCACCTCCTTTTTGTATTATACCAGGCAGAAATACGTGAGTAGAAGATGGATGGGAGGTAAGACACATGGCAGCAGGAGATATGACACAGTAGGAACATGACTGGAGTGTGGATTGAGCCTGCACAGGGATGGAGAAAAGGGACAGGGAAGGATCTACCTTTTGAATTGATTTGGAATGTGGTTCACAGGGATCAAAACTGTGGTAATTTCTACCTTAGATACTTCTTAATCATAAACACATGCACACAAACACCGTATGAAATCTTTGTACCTCATTATAATGCTTGTTCAATGAATCCAGAATTCCTTTCAGTCCAGAAGGACCCTATATGGAAAAACACGCACAATGTTATATTTATATACCTGCATTTAAAGAGAAGTGGTCAGGTAAAAGGTTTAGATTTTTATTTGATTATACAGTAAATTATTTTCTGTAAGTTCATTATAGCTTTTTTCAGGCACGGAGGAGAAGGAGAGTCATTCTAAATCCCTGAGTTTTGGAAACTGGCAACTTCTTTTGGTGTGAAGTGGAATGTGACATCCATATCAGTTTTAATATAAATCCCTTCTGGTATGAGCAGCATCTTTGTTCTGCAGCATTTTAAAACTCTTTCCACTAACTCAAAGCACAAGTTTTGATGTAAGCAGCTCCTAGTGTGAGTTAACAGCTAGATTTTCAATTTATAATATGGAAAGTGAAATTGAGGAATGTCAGAATACTCCAAAAGAGTAGCTTCCTCGTTTTATCAACATTGAAAGTTTATATTTAAACACACACCTTTCATCAGGAATTTCCGCATCAGGGAAGCAACTTCCTATGCAAACGCAGACTTACAACGTAGAGACTAAAAAACATGTGCTTGGGAAAAATAAAACAGTTTTAGATATAATCTGCCATAAACTAAGCCCTCAATGGGATTTTTATAGTGTTGTAAATCAGGGCAGAACACAAAAATTTCCATCAAGATCTTATAAACTTAAACTCAGTTAAATGTAAAAATTAACACAGAATCTCTCAAGTTGAAATTTGCACATCATGCAATATGAACTACAGCCACTCATGATGGCTATAAGAAATATTTGACTACATTAATAAGATTACAAAATACTCAATTAAGTCACTTGGTGTGAATGACCTGCATTTAACAGAGACAGGGCAGAAAGGCAACTCTCCTCCTTTGGGGCTTTTTTCGAATTATATTAAATTTACCCTCTGCAGCTTGTGTGAGTGGGGAAAATGTAGCTGGCATACATGGACCATAAAGATTGCTTTAGGAAGTTGAATTCTATTCAGTTTTGAAAAGGGTTGTTCCTCAAAAAAAAAACCAAAAAAAACAGTTGTTTATCAGAGATGCCATGTCAGAGATTTAGTCAGAGTTTTTATTGCACATTTAAATTTTGTATAAGGTCCTTGTTAATCATTTTATGTGCACTGCTATTATACATGTCACACATGACAGAAATATTCTGGTGCTATGTATGCATCATAAGAAAACAGCTTTCCATACTTTCAGAATAAGAATCTATTGAAATTTTCTCCCATTTTCATGCTAAAAGACCTGTAAAACCATTACAGCAAGTCAGGGGTCAAAGTTATTTCTCACTCAAGATACAAACTGGTTAAGATGAAAATATTACTGTTTTCAACTGGTTAAAACTTGCATAACAAGAACTTCTGTCAAATTTGTAGCAGTACAGCAGCAAGACTAAAATATTCCTAGGAAAATTGAAAAACCTTCTATCCACTGATTTCAGCTAGGGATCCAAAGAAAATACTGAAATACTATGTATTTCAGGTCAATATAAGATAAATACTCAGCTACTATAATTTTCTAAGGTGGATCTCAACTGTTTACTACTTCAGAGTTCCTGATGGATATATAAACCATCAGGCAGTTCAGGAAAAAGGTGCTGAAAGAAACAGCAATGATTTTGTCATAGGTGGCATCTCTCATATCTGATAATTTCACATGTATGTCCCCTGGTATCTTTTGGCTGCTATGTAATCATATTTTGAAGTGTTCCGACAAAGCATTTAAATGAGGTAGGTCATGATTTGCATTCTGACAGCAAAGCCTCCGCCAGCATGATGCATTTGCTCTGTAAGAGTGCACAGAATGGCAAAACCCAAAGTTTTTCCAGAGGTACAAGATCATTCTGTGAAACTCTGATGGCTCTCCTTACTAGTAAAGGTACTTCCCTTGACATACTGAACTTCAAAAAGATGAGAAACATAACCATGATTTTGATTAAACAAACAGACTACTTCCTTGGACAAAAAAAAAAAGTTCAATCTGATAGAAACTAACTATTAAAAGAAAGGCAATCCCAAAGTTCCCATGGAGTCCGAAGGTATAAAAAACCTAGGAAGATGGTAAAGTCAAATAGGCAAAAGTTATTAATACTGATGGGTAAATCAGTGAGACTAGGCAGAACATTACTGCAGCATACCCAAACAAGACAGGTGTGTTCTGAGACATCATCACTAAATTATGTAATATGATCCTATGTATTTTACTGTGATTAAATTGTTACAGAAAGAGAGTGGTACTTAAATATTAGGCAACATTAGCAAGATTTGGAAACCACATGAAACATTACAGGGGCTTCACTTCCTCTTTGTTACCCAACACTGGAAGAGGTATAAGGCCATAAATTTTTCCATTCATTTTAGTTTGGAAGTGAACTGTCCCTTCAAATTTACACTGAAAAATAATATAAATATAGTAATAATGTTTTGACTGAGATGCTCACTCAGCTCTGATTCCTGAAGTTCATGGCAGAACTTTCACTTCAATATCCATATTAAAGATGGCAGTCCAGAATTGGAACTGAACCGTGATGACACTGCCTACTTATTACATATGTCTCAACTTCAACACTGTAATCCTGCAGTGTCAAATCCCTGAATCCAGAATCCTTGCAGGATTCTGTAATCCTGCAAGCAGTTAGAAAAAGAATTTATTCTCACTTCTCATTTGCCACCTTGTTGTTTCATTTACTGTTTTTCCATGAATGAAACTGCTGCAACCACACAACCCTGGAAGGGTTGAATGCTGTATCTGCCACCAATGCCAACCTGTCAGATATTATTTGCACATCAAATAAATAGTTTTGGACAGGATGAAAAGCCTTTGCACATGTCACGGTTTTGAAAAACAAACATAACCTCAGAAGAACCCCAGAACTTTTTCATGACTAGGGCAGTGAAGGCGTTTGAGTTGCATGCTTGACTATGCCACAACCTTTGTGTTACCAGAGGTAAACTACATCTCTGGTTTTAATCTTTCCATTTTCATAAATTGACACTTTTTTTTTATCATTCTTTCTAAAACAAAGTTAATAAAATGTGTGTACAGCAACAGAAAATACTTTTATTCAAGAATGTTTTCCTAAACTTTAGTCTCTTTCTTCCCTTCAACACTATTCCTCTCCACTAATATAGCTGCATAATCCACTCCAAAGTCTCTAAAGACAAAAAAAGAAACAGTAGTATTGGTTTGCAAATGGAGAAGCAATGAAATTAACAGGAGTTGAAGAATTATTGTACAGGCAATTCCTAGCTTTTGAATGAGAATTTTGCACATCTGCCACTTTGAAGCTCACTTGAGCAGTGTTTCCTTTTTCTTTTTTAATATCAAGTTGTGTAATTGAAAAAAGTGAAGCCCACAGAGAGTTCAGTTGTATGAATAAGAAAAGAACTGAAAATGTGTCCTAATTGTTTTCCAAAATTACAAACAGGTTTCAGATGTTATTTCTATAGATAAAGCAGGAATAGAAACACAGGTGCTTAAAAGGAAATAGCTGCAAACTGTGAATTTACTGGGGGTTTTAATACATTTTTCTCTCTTAGCTTTTATAGTTCGTCTGCACTTTTGCAAAGATGAGACTGCTGAAAAGGTCTACCCAATCTCACAGTCCATGCAATAAAATGTGTAACAAGCAAATTGCACTGGTTACATCTCAAGAACAGGCTGTTTCAGAGAACACAACATTGCAAGTGACTCAGTGTAATCACTTTATCTATCTATTTCAGATTTGTGCTGGCCCATTAAAATAAAATACTGTTTTTCTGACTACTATAATGTAAAAAAGCATGAAACACATCAGTAAAGATGTGCATTATTGTATAACTATTTCAAAGAGCAAATGGAAAGAATGATGAAGGCATGACATCTGCCACAATAGAATACATTAAATAAATTACATTTTGATACAGACTTTAAAAACCTAAATGCATAGAAACAAGCAATATGACCAACCCTTGCCAGCCATTCCCATCCTACCATGTAAGCATTTCCAATATTCTTCTAAGAAGCAGCAGAAAGTCCAGGAATACTAGAAATACTACTGTCAATTTTCACTTATCATTGCTTTAATTTTCTGTTTATTGTAATTAACTGATAACATTCATTCACCTTCAAATATTGGTAGAGGAATGTCAGTATTTCCTGAGGCAGAGGAAATGAGATTTCCAAGGCAAACTGCTGGCTACTTAAGATAACTAGTTTGGTGGCACTTACATACATACAGAGTATAACAAGAGACCAAAAGTGTATGGAATTAAATGAAGAAATTCAAGTAGTCTGCGAACTTCTCCACTGCTTCACATGCAACACAAACAAAAATAAAACCCTATTTTAATTTACAACTTTAAGGAGTAACACTAAACTAATCTTCTAGGCAAGAACAGTTGTGAAGATAAAGATACCTTTGCAAAGCTAAATGATGAACTGAATTATGAGCTTCAAGGGCTATAGCATTTGTGAAATAAATCTATTTTGGTTGCAAACGCTAACTTCAGATGTGTTGGTAGAAAATATCAGATGTAAAAAGACTAATAATCATGACTGCAGTTTACTAACTGCAATCTGATTTAGCAGACCCAAATTTTCTTTCCCAGCTCAGTCACAAACAGCTTCTTGGACAACATAGCACTTGGACAAATCAGGTAGTCCTCATGTTTCTTACCTTTAAAAACCAGTGCTGATAGTACTCCCTTCTGACAAATGTCAACACTGTGCAGATATCATACTCAGACTCACCCCAGAGAACGCTGTTATACTGGTGGAAGTCTGTAGCACAACTGTAGCTTGTCACTCGTTTTATTTTAAAAACAATTTGATGTCCCACCAAAATGGGAACTATTAAGAAATGGAATTCCTCCAGTCATAACAGTTCCAGTAGAGACACAGAAAACTGGGACAGAAAAGGTAAAGTTAACCCTTAATGGAGAAACCAGTAAAACTCCTTTTACCGTCCTCTAGCCTACCTACCTGGTTGCTGATTCATGTAAAAGTAAAAATAAAAAATAGAACAAAAAAA